GGGAGCCGCGGGGCTGGGCGATGCGGGTTTCGTCCGATACCGCCTGATCGCTGTGGGGGTGTACGCAAGGGCACGGCTTTGCCGTTACAGTGATCGGGGATGTCAATTCCCGGTCTCGGAAACGTGCCAGGATAACGGGGGGGGGGAATAAAACCTGACAGAAGAAAGCCTGGTTCCAGATAGGTTTCTTTAAGCTCGTCCTCCAAGGGGAGGGGACAGCGACGGCCTAATTTTAGAAAGAGTGTCCTAGTATTACTGTGGAAGTACAGGTTAGTCGGGAGGGAAAATAAAGGCTGGAGTTGAAGGATCCTAGTTGAGGAGGAAAGTCTGTGCTGGCATGCTCACCTCAGAGCAACAGATGGGTGATCTCTGATTCGCTGTAACTCCTCTATGCTGAACGTGGCATGCATCAGTATAGTACATATCTCTAATAAAAGGGTGTGCCCTACTGCCCGGATTAATTTTTCTTAACTTCCCCCTCCTCACCTTGCCCTGCACGCACCCTTCTCTCTAGGGGGTGTGAATTTGTGAATTCTGATAGGCAGCTACCTCTGGAATACAGTGCAGCAGCTATTTAGGGACAGGCGGTGACAATATGGGGTAGGACAGGGACTGAAGGGGTGTACTGTTGTATCATGTTGCCAATAGTGCAACAAGTGCTCCTTACACTTGCAACACAAAGCTGTTATCTGCTGTTGTAGGGTGGTCCAGCTTTTTGTGTCAGTGAAGAACTTGGTCTATCAGGTTAAATCACTTCTTACAATATGTGAAGCTGACAAACTTATGTCTAGGTTTGAAAATACACTTTCAAATTCTCCAGTGCTATTTTTTCCTAGATGTAATGACATAATTACCAGTTGCAGTATAGGAAGCAACAATGAAGCAAACAAACACAAGCAGCTGGGAAAGAAAAGTGAAGGTCCAGCTCCCCTGTTTGAAGTTGTTGATTTTTTTTTTTTTTCTTCCCTGTTTCCCCTGGTGTTCCCACCTGACTTCAGCCACTATATTCATTTGCCCACATGGTGGGCACTGGTGTTACTTTATATGCTAACTGGAATTACGCAAATAGTACATGCACTTCTTTGTACATTTGTGTGAACAGTCTGTGGCACAAAATACAAAGTTTTGGCTGGGAATGGGGGGCTTGCTGTGTGCTGTTAGTATACACACAACCATCACATAGGCAGCATCTGCCTGTGTTGCAGGTAGCTCAAACTACTCAACTGCTACTGTAGCCTCAGCTGCAAATAGTTTTGCCAAACAGCAGTAAGTTGCTGCACAGACATAAGAAAATCTCTGAAATTCATTAATGCAGTGAATGCTAGAAGCAGTTGTTTAACTCCTTTTTAATCTTTACATACAAGATAAATAGAGGCCAGTGACTGACTCTTCTGCCACGTGAACCAAGGGGCATCAAATGAAACCGGCAGGTTTGGAACAAATGAGAGAAATGTCTTCACAGAATTGTAGTTAAGCAGTGGAACTCCTTGGCAAGAGTGTTGTGTGGACTGAGGGATTTCAAAGTGATTAGATGAATTCGCAGAAGAGAAATCACTTAAGGGCTATTGAATGCAGTGTGCATCTCTGGCTCTGGAAATCCCAAAGCTGCAAATGGCTTGTGCTCGGGAGAGCATCCCGAGGCAAAACTGCTGTGTGCGTGCCCTGGTTTTGTGTGCCTCTCCAGATATCCACTCTTGGCTCCTTTCAGAGATAGGGTATCTAGTAGGACCTGATGCGGCGGTCCTTGCTGCGTTAAAAATCACCCGAGATAGTCCATAAATGATCTGTCTCTGTTGTGTCAGCATGCAGTTTTGAAGTTTATAAAGGGCTTGTCTATGCAAGGAAGAAATTCTGGAGAAATGTAAGACATGAATTTTAAGTAGTTTGCTGTGTGGAGGTTTTTACTGTAAAATAAGAATTACTTTAAAATTAAGTAAGGTTTTTTTTCTGATTTCTGTTACGTAGGAAGCCATGCAAATAATTTGCTTTAGTCAGTTTCCCGTATAGATAAATAATACTAATTAAGTTTGTTCTGATTAATTGTTGACATATTTAATTTGTTAGAATTTTGCTGTTTTGTTTTATCTTTGGGGGTTTTTTTCTGCATGTTTCTTTTGTCCTAGAAAGCCAAGTTCAGACTACAAGGAACATGGTTAGTGTAGCTTTAACCACTCTATTTAATACATGTTTGTATAACCTAAAAAACTGTGCCTTTATAGT